GAGAGCAACATCAATGTGAGAGAGACATATGGATTATTTGCCTCCTGCACTTGCCCTGACCAAGACCTGGATCAAGCCCGCAACTGAGGTATGTGCCCTTTGAGCAGAATCAAACTCTAGGTCATTCTGGGGGCCGACATTCTATCCACTCAGGCAGGCGGCTGGGGCTCCACATGATCTTCAGATACGACCAGAGAGAAGCAGTATCTAAAAGGCTCCCAGCGGCACCTTCTGATTTCTAGCTGGAGACCCATGCCTGCTTGAAACAGGAGGATGGCTGGCTCACTGTTATCAGTGATCTTTGGAGACACAGATTGAGTTGATCAATTATTTATCTGCTTGTTTTCAGTAACCTGATGACCAGCTTCGTTTTCTGGAAAGCTCTGACGGTGGTTCCATCACATGGCCTCAGGGAAGCAGGCGCAGGCATCTCCATCCTGGTGGGATGGGAAAGCCGGGTTTAGGAAATGGAAAGTGGCTGACATCCCCTGCGGAAAGTCCCGCCCATTTAGTCAGAACTGCTCTCTCTTGACTCATCTACTCTTGACAGTCGTTCAGGATGACAAATGCCACTGAGTCCAGCTCTGGGATGTGGCATTCCGGACAGCGGAGATGAGACCTGGCTCCTAAAGGCTCAGAAGGTTTGATTTGCCTGGCTGGCGTGGCTCAGCGGCTGAGCATCGACCCAGGAACAGAGATCACGGTTTGATTCCGGGTCAGGGCACATGCCTGGGTTGCAGGCTCCATTCCCAGGGAGGGGCACGCAGGAGGCAGCCATTTGATGATGTTTTTCTCATGGATGTCTCTCTCTGAAAAATAATAAACTAAAATAAAATTTTAATAAAAAGTTTGATCTGCCAGGACCGGTTTGGCTCAGTGGATAGAGCGTCGGCCTGCGGACTGAAAGGTCCTGGGTTCGATTCCGGTCAAGGGCATGTACCTTGGTTGCTGGCACATCCCCGGTAGGGGGCGTGCAAGAGGTAGCTGATGTATGATTCTCTCTCATCAATGTTTCTAACTCTCTATCCCTCTCTCTTCCTCTCTGTGAAAAATCAATAAAATATATCTATATATAAAAGTTTGATTTGCCTAAGATGTGCAACGCAGGGCTTGAAGCCTATACCTTTCTGATTGATAAAGTCCTTTTCCCACAATACCATGAAGCTGTGTGGCCTGTTTGAGACCTTATCCCCAAAAAGACAGTTCCCTCTGTCTCTTCAGCTGATTCCCAATCTCTGTGCATCCACTGTCACAGCTCTTGAAGGGAAGATACAAGGCAGCCTGGGAAACGTGAACTTGCAGGGAGGGAAGGAGTGCTGTCCTCTCGCCACCAGGGCAGCCTGTGCCCTGGGTATTTTTATTTGAGCTCCAAATAGATAAACTGAGCCCTTTTTATGGCCACAGTGAAAGCAGGGAACTTCAAGTCCTTTTTTCCCTCAGAGGGGTTGGTTTTCTCTGGGTTAAAGTTAACCATCACTTTATTTTAAAGTGCGGTTTGGTTCTGCCCTCCACCCACAAGCATAGCCCCTCCTAACCCCAGGTTCCTGAATGATGGATGGGATGCCGCTAGCCCGTTTACTGTGACTCTTACTGTGCCTGCTCTTCCCCCGCCTGCAGGTCGTCTGACAGTGCCCCTGACCCAGGGGGAGCTTTCCTTCGGTCCTGGTCCTCTTGCTCCAACCTTGAGATCCTGTGGCTGAGAAGGAGCCAGACCCACGCAAAGCTGGGAGCCCTGTCAGCGGCCTGCTGAATGGTCCCATCTCCTAGCTCCTTGTTCTCTGGCTGGGAAGGATGGCCCACAGGGAATAGGAGAAAGTTGCCTGAGCCTTGTGACCTCCCTGCCCCCTTCCCCAGGGCTGGCACTGGGCTTTTTACATAATGTGGGAGAATGCAGCTTGGACCTGCACAGAGGGCCAAGGAGCTTCCTGAGGCCTTGCCTTCCTTTGAGGCGGAGCACTGCCCTTTTATGTTGATGCTACAGGCAACAAAAAGGCTTTCTCTCCGCTCAGGGCTGCCAGAGCTCAGAAAGGGCCTATTCACAACTGGGTTGCTCGCTGTTCCCTGCGTGGGGGGTGGGAGAGCCGGGCTGAAGAAAGGCCTACCCCTTGAAAACAGGAAGGAAAGCTCTGGGGTTGCTGCCCTCCTATCTGAATACTCCTGGTGCTGAGGATTCAAAAGCTAGGACGGTGAGGTTTTGCAAAAGGGCAGACCTAGGAGATGGGACCATTCAGCAGGCCGCTGACAGGGCTCCCAGCTTTGCGTGGGTCTGGCTCCTTCTCAGCCACAGGATCTCAAGGTTGGAGCAAGAGGACCAGGACCGAAGGAAAGCTCCCCCTGGGTCAGGGGCACTGTCAGACAACCTGCAGGCGGGGGAAGAGCAGGCACAGTAAGAGTCACAGTAAACGGGCTAGCGGCATCCCATCTAGATTTATTTGAATAGACTTCTCCCAAGACACTGCCAGGAGAAAGGGGACAAACAAATAGTGTTATTTCACGATCATTTGGCTCCAAAGCAGCGGTTCTCAGAATTCACTGTACATAGCAAACTTCCGGGGTGCCTGCTAAAAATACACCCCCAGAAACGGATTCAAAACTAAGTAGTGTCTGGATTTGCCATATAAACAAGCCTAGGGGCACAGTGAGTTAGAATGCCTGAGAGACTTGGAATGCTTCTCCCCAGGTTCCCCACCCGCAGTCTGGCTTATTCAATGTGGTCACAGCACCAGCCATCCTATAGCAGAGACTGTTCTCAGCTCCCGGGAAGTTCCAGGCACATCACAGACAAGCTAGGTTACATCCGGCTAAGGGTGCGTCTTTCTTAGAGTTCCTTAGAGGAGGAGGGCAAGTGAAGGAGAGAGTGGAGTCTAGTTGGGATGTGGAAATCTTACACTAACTCTCCAAACTGGGCTGCTGGCTGCATGGAGGGCTCCTTAGGACGTTTTTTTGTTTGTTTGTTTGTTTGTTTGTTTAAATATATTTTATTGATTTTTTACAGAGAGGAAGAGAGAGGGACAGAGAGCCAGAAACATCGATGAGAGAGAATCATCGATCAGCTGCCTCCTGCACAACCCCCACTGGGGATGTGCCCACAACCAAGGTACATGCCCTTGACCGGAATCGAACCCAGGATCTTTCAGTCCGCAGGCTGATGCTCTATCCACTGAGCCTCTTGTTACTCTGAGTGCCCACCAATTCAGGTCTGCCTCGATGTGCTGGGAAGGGTGCTGGACCAAGCCTCAGGACTCGGGGCTAGTGAGTGGCTCACAGCTGTCCTTGTCTAGGCTTTACCCTGCATACCTGTAAAATGAGGGGTTGGTCAGGCGTCTGCTAAGGTTTTTCGGTCTGACTTTCTGAGGTTCTTCAGCCACTGCAGCTGCTTCTGGGTAGGGCCAGTGTTAATTCTCCCACTTCATCCGTCTGAAGGAAAAGAAATGGACTGTGGCCACCTCTGAAGGTGTCAGACATCCTGGTGAAGCCACCTGGGCCAGTGGTTTGTCAGAGTTCTCTCAGTCAAGATTCCAGCAGCCTTACCCTCCTAACTAGCTGGGCATTGTTCCAATGCGGACTACTTTACCTTATGACCAATATTTCTGCACTGAATATTGAATGGACGCCTACAATGTGCCAGTTACCGTTCTAATTTTTCTTTGGGAGGAGTACTTTTCTATTCAAAGATGATCATTGCTAAATTTTATGCATTTTTCCCAATGTCTTTCTATGCCTATGTATTTGGAAACCACTGTTTATATAGTATTATATTGTGAATTATTTACTTACATGTCAAAATCTTACACACCATTTTCGATGGCTTCATGATAATAGTGCATTTAACCACTCCCGCACTATAGACATTTAAGGTGTTTCTTTTATGCTTTATATTTATATTATAAATAGCACTAGGATAAGGGTAGCTGCCTACACGTTTTTATCTGTATTTCCTTACTAAAGAATCCCAGAAATGGAATTGCTGGGTCAAAGCGTTTAAAGCTCTTTAAGCTTCTTGAAACACAAGCCAAAATATTTTGTAGAAAAGTTTTCACCAATTTACAGCTTTGTAGCTGCCTCCGTGAAGAGAAAGCCCGTGGGCCTGAAGGCGTCTCCCAAACTGTGAGGCCGCTGCGTGGGAGGTCAGGTTGCACCGGGCCCCTCCTGCAGTCTGTCTCCATTACCCCTCCCTCCGCCGCCAAGGCGACCGTCCTGTTTCCTAAGTCCGAGTTCTTAGTAAGATTCCAGGAGGGAAAATGGTCCAGGGGTGGACGACGTTAGTGGTCATGGCAGCGGGCCTGGGAGTAGGGAATTCCACTCCGAAGTTTGAGCAAAGAGAACTGTTAACAAGACTCCAACACTTGGAGATCTATCCAAGGTGAAGGGCAGGGGAGCGTAAGAAGAGGCTGTAGCGGCAAAGGAATCAACCGAGGGCTTCCGCTGGAGTTCTGCGGCCCCTTTAAGGCGCAATCCGGAACCTGGCCCTTTAAATCTGTGTCAGTTTCCCCTGACGTCACCGGCGGGCCGCCAGCCCGGCTGTTTACCGCTTCGCGGCGCCGCACGCCGTCCCTAGTTCCGGACGCGGCGCCCTGGGGCCCGCCTGCCCTTAAAGGGCCCGCACTCCCGGCCACTCTCCGGGCGGCGCGGCGGCGGGTGACTACCACCCCCGCCCGGCCTCCTCCCCTCGCGGCCACCCGCCGCCGGCTCCCGCCCTCCGCCTCCGTCCGGCGTCTCCGGGCTCCCGGCAACCGCCCGGCCCTCGCTCCCCCGGCGGGCGCCGCGGGGTCTCGGAGCCGCGCTCAGCCCCTCGCGCCCCGGCCTCCCGCGGCCCGGCCCCTCCCCGCTCCCGCCCCGCCCGCCGGTGCCCGGGCAGCGCCGCGGCGGCCCGGAGGGACGTTTCCTAATCTCAGCCGGGGTTAAAGTTCTGGTCCTGGGGCGATGGTGGAGACTGCGGCCGGAGCCGCGACCTGCCCCCGAGGAGAGCTGCCGCCGGCCGCCGCCGCCCTGCCGGGGCCATGTTCGCCCTGCGCCTGCCCCTCCTGGCGCTCCTGGCGGCCTCGGTCCGCGGCCACCTGGGGCTGCTGGGGCCCAAGAACGTGTCGCAGAAGGACGCCGAGTTTGAGCACCTCTACGCGGACGAAGTCAACAGCGAGCTGGTCAACATCTACACCTTCAACCACACGGTGACCCGCAACCGGGTGAGGGCCGCCCGGCGGACCCCCTCCCCGCCCCGCAGCCCGAGCCCGGCGGCCCGCCTCCCTTTGCCGCCGGGTTTCTCCCTCCAGCAAGCTCCCGCCGCCGGGCTCTGAAGTTGTCTGGTCCCCAGCTCCCCGCTGACCTCCTCCCCAGGGCGGGCTGAGCGGGAGGCCCCTGCCCCGCAGCCGGCACCTGGTGGCCCCGGGGTCGGTGCGGAGCGAGGGGCTGGGCCTGAGGTCCCGGGGAGACCGGCTCCCGCTGAAAGGTGCTGCCCAGGCGGCCTGGCTGCTGGGACCCCAGCCTCCTGCAGCCGCGGGACCAGCTGGCAGGTGGAGTGCGGGAGGAGGCAGCTCCTCGGCGGGAGGAGAGAGGGCTTGTCTGCTGTGGGAAAAAGCTCAGCCTGACTTCACTTTCCTCTCTGCCCAGCGGGGCTGGGGCCTGGCTGGGGCTGGGAAGTTAGAGCTGAAATTTGGAGACTTGCTGCCTGGCCGGGTGGTCTCCTGCCCGGCCCTCTCCGTGACGCATTCACTGGGAGCCGTGGCGTTGAGCATGTGGGAGCCTGAGTTGTTTTCAGGATGGGGAGGCATTTGGTTGCTGTGACAGGCTGGGATCTGCCTCCAGGCCGGGGTTACCCTCCGAGGTGTGGCCTCTGGCCCCCTGAGAAGGCTGCCTAGGGCTCGGGCTTCAGCGGTCCAGGGACAAGATCCACAGGATTTACTTAGTTTTCTATTTCCCCTTAAATTCGTGCTGTTTTACATCCTTTGTAGCGCCCAGCGTGAGTGTGTCTCCATTTTATAGAGGAGGCAGCTGAGGCTCAGAGATGGGAAGGAACTTCCCCCTACCCCGCCCCTTGGTCTGAGCCCGGGACAGTTTCTCTTTCTTGGCTTTCAGCAGTCCCTGTGTGCTCACTGCCCCCAGCTGCTGATTAGTTGTTGAGTTGGAGCTTCTGGCTCATGAGGAAGAAAGTTGAGAAGCATTTTTTGCTCGAGTGTGTGTGTGTGTGTGTGTGTGTGTGTGTGTACGTGTACGCGGGGGCGCACACGTGTAGCATCCCATGAGCATGGGCAGGAATGGGATGCCCAGAGGTGCCCAAGATCTCATGGTGTTTCCTGGTGGGAAGTGAGGTCCTGCGCAGGCCGGGACCTGCCGTCCAGGAGCTTGCCTCTTCACAGCCTCTAGGCCCTGAAGACAGGGGGCCGCCCTGGCACAAGAAGGGGCTTGGCGAGCTCCCCAGCCTGACCGGGATGGGAAGGAACAGCCAGGAGGGAGGGCAGGCCTGGTCTCTGGGGCAGCGGAGGTGCCAACGGCTTCACTGAGGCCTCACCGTCTCCCTGCAGACGGAAGGTGTGCGTGTGTCCGTGAACGTCCTCAACAAGCAGACAGCGGCTCCCTTGCTGTTCGTGGTCCGCCAGAAGGAGGCCGTGGTGTCCTTCCAGGTGCCCCTCATCCTGCGAGGGCTGTGAGTAGCGCCTGGGGGTCGGGGAGGGGAAGCCTTGCCTAGAGCCTCACCCAAGTCCCTCTCTGGGGCCTCCGACCACCCAGGAGCCCCTCTGTCTCTCTTCTCCGGCCCAGACCAGGAGGCTGGTCAGTGGCATGAGGCCAAGCCAACCACCAGCGTCTGTCGGCCTGGAGCGGGCAAGGGCAGGGCGGCGGGAACCAGCGTGGGAATGGGGCCTTGTTCCTCCGCAGTCAGGTCCCGACTCTGCTTTGGTCACAGGTATCAGCGCAAGTACCTCTACCAGAAGGTGGAGCGAACGCTGTGTCAGCCGCCCACCAAGAACGAGTCTGAGGTGCAGTTCTTCTACGTGGATGTGTCCACCCTGTCGCCAGTCAACACCAGGTACCAGCTCCAGGTCAGCCGAATGGACGACTTCGTGCTCAGGTGTGCAGGGGAGAGCGAGGGCATTGTGGGCTGGCCTCCTTCCTAAGCCTGGAGGGTGACCTTGGGGTCTTCTCTGCCCTGCAGGACCGGGGAGCTCTTTAGCTTCAATACAACAGCAGCGCAGCCTCAGGTAGGCCCCGGCTGACTGCCCCGGAGGGAATAAATGGGAAGGGGTGTGGGAGTGGCGGGTGGTCTTCGGGGAGTTTCACGTTGGCTGGACTCGCCCTAGCGAGCCTGGAAGCAGAGGCTCTGGCCCCAAGGTGGTAACGGGAGGCCGAGGCGGTACGGCAAGTGCGGAGACGGGGGTCTGTGTCCTCCCTCCCGCCTGCTCCTCCGGCCCGTCCAGAGGGAGCAGCGAAGCCAGCAGGAGGGTGTCCAGTCAAGGCCTCCCACATGGTGCCCTCCTAGAGGGCAGAGTGGCGTCCTAATGAGACGGCTCACCCGGTGCCCTCCCTCTGCCCTCAGTACTTCAAGTATGAGTTTCCGGAGGGAGTAGACTCGGTGATTGTCAAGGTGACCTCGAACAAGGCCTTCCCCTGCTCGGTCATCTCTATCCAGGATGTCCTGGTAAGCGCCCTGCGCTGTACACTCCCCTGTGGTGGAGGGCTGCTGCCGAGAGGGGGCACGGCCCAGGCCTCTGCATCTGCTGCCCCCTCCGCAGTGCCCTGTCTATGACCTGGACAACAACGTGGCCTTCATCGGCATGTACCAGACCATGACCAAGAAGGCCGCCATCACCGTGCAGGTAGGGACGCACATGGGCCGGCAGGAGGAGCCTGGGGATTGGCTCTCAGACCCCTGCTCCTCTTCCCTTGCCCCATCCTCCCTTGCCCACAAGACTGAGTCTCGGCCCACTGGTCCCTGAGACTTGGAGTCTAAGCAGAATCCCAGCTGCCTTTGGGACAGGAAAGAGGCTGTCATGGCCACTTCATTCACTGTGGTGGCAGTAGGGAGAGGAAAGGGCCTCGCTGGGGCTTTGTGCCTGCACTTGGCGAGGGTGGAACCCACACTGGCACAGGGATGGGCGCCACGTGTGGTGACATTCAGTCACATAGCTGCCAGAGGCAGTGTGGCCCACCACTTCCCCTGCTGACACCCAACCTGCAGTGGGGCTCTCCTGGGCTCTGTGACGGGGACACACACTTGCTCACCCGGCTTTGGGCTCAGGCTTTGGAGTCAGACAATCGAGGCTCTACCACTTGCTGGCAGCGTGACCCTGAGCTAACTTGCGAGCCTGTCGCAGCGATGTGATGATACTGTCTCGTTAGGACCTTAGGGAGGATTGAGTAAAATAACAGATAAGGAGAGGTTAGCATAATTTCTGGCCCAAAGTAGGAATGTCAGAGAAGGATGTGCTGATGATGACATTGATGGCCTCATGACGGTGGTGATGATGTCATCGTCGCCATCCTGCAGCGCAAAGACTTCCCCAGTAACAGCTTCTATGTGGTGGTGGTGGTGAAGACGGAAGACCAGGCCTGCGGGGGCTCCTTGCCCTTCTACCCCTTCGTGGAAGGTGACTGTCCCAGCCTGGCTGGCGGGAGGGCTTGGCCCCTTCCTGGGAGCAGGGGGGTGTGGCTGACTTTGGGCGTGGGAACCCAGACTCCCCGGGGCTGGTCCCACCCGCTCTAGCCAAGCTTCAGGCAACTCTTTGTTTGCCAGTTTGACATTTTACTTCCAGATGAACCGGTTGATCAGGGGCACCGCCAGAAAACCCTGTCTGTGCTGGTGTCTCAAGCAGTCACATGTGAGTGTGGGTGGCTGGGGTTTGGCCTGGCCTGCAGCTCTTCCTCTCAGCCCGGGAGGAAGGGGATGAGGCTGCTCAGGGGAAGGGGGCCGGGTTCTGGGTAGGCTTCGTGATGGGAGGGCCCCAGGTGAGTCCCAATAAAAGTTGGTGCAAAGTCCATCCTAAAGAGCAACATGCTGAGTCTGGTTTTCTCTGTGCCACTCGGCAGCAGGGTCAGCTCTTTGGGCCTCAGTTTCCCTGCCTCTGTGGCAGGGGTAATAGGTCTGTCCCTGTGATCGCACTGAGTTGTGAAGGTTAGTGCAGTGGGTAGGAAGTGCCGGCCTCTCAGTCTTGCTCAATAAATATTTACTGAGCGAGGAATGGGCCTTTGTAACGAGAAAGTGGGAGGTGAAAGCAGGAGGGTGAGGTGGAGGGAAGACGCTGCCTCTCCTATGCGGATTCTTTATCCAGCAAATATTTGTGGAGCACATCTGAGTGCCAGGTGCTCCAGCTGCATCCCGGGGCGCCTCCTAGAGGGCGGGAGCCGCGGCTGCGAGGTCACTGTGGGCTGGACAGAGGCGACTCCTAGTGTGTTGAAGGCTAAGTCCCCGGGGAGATGTGAGGAAGAGTAGCTGGGAGAGTTCCTGCAGAGAGAGCGACGGGCCGCAGGCAGGAGCCCGGGCGGGGTGTGGCGGCGGCGGGGAGCGGCTGAGGGGAGAAGTGAGAGTTCGCTGGGCCCTGGGCGCCCTGATGGATGTGCTCGGCGTCCTGCTTCCTTCCAACAGCTGAGGCCTACGTGGCTGGGATGCTCTTCTGCCTGGGCATCTTCCTCTCCTTCTACCTGCTCACCGTCCTCCTGGCCTGCTGGGAGAACTGGAGGTAACGAGGACTGCGGGGCCGCCTCTGCTCTGGGCCGCGGGGCGGGTTGTGGGCAGATGGCCTGGCGGGTCTGAGCCAGCCCCGGGCAAGCTTCCACGCCGTCCCCAGGGTGGAAGAAAGCAGCCTGGTAGGTCTGTGGTCCAGGGGCCTCTCCTCTGGGAACTAGCCCCTGCCTCAGCCTTTCCAAGCAGGAGACCCCACCTGCTTCCCAGCTAGGAAGAACCGTAGGATCAGGGCCAGGGGTGGGAGCGGAGCGCCCTGTCCTGCCCGGGTTTGCCTCTGGGTTCTGTTCTGCAGGCAGAGGAAGAAGGCCCTGCTGCTGGCGGCGGACCGAGCCTGCCCGGAAAGCGGTACCGGGGCCGGGTGGGAGGCGGGGTGCTGTGTGTTTGGGGGGGGGGGTGGCTCCCTCAGGGCCAGAGGCGGCTGTCTGCGGGCTTCCGGATATTCAGGTTGGGAGTGGCACTGCCGGGGGCTGGGACACGCCTGCCGTCCCTGCCACGCTTGTCTGCAGGCTGCCACCTGACCGTTCTCGTGGGCCAGCGGCACGCGGTCTGCCACAGACACGGGCTCGCGCGTCAGGGATTATTAACCCTTCGTTCTCTCTTCCTTTCTGCCATTCCTCTCTCTCTGTCCTCCCTCCTGCTTGGGACTTCCCTCTCAGCTTCCCTCCTTGGTAAGCAGCGGGGCGGAGCCCAGAGTGGGACAGGGGCGCACAGGGTGCTGGGGGCCTGGCAGGCGTCTGTCCATCCCTGCTGCTGGCGGTTCAGACACATCTGTTCCTTGGCACCTCTCCCTCATGGGGGACGGGGGTGAGGTGGCCACTGGGGACACATGGGAGGAAGGGGTGGGGATGAGAGTGACTGTTTGCTGGGATCGCTGCTTGTTCTTGCTGCTGCCGTGGCTCCTGTGTCTCTTCTCTGTTCTCCGTGGCGTTCGGCCTCTGCGCCCAGGGCTAAGGGGACCTTCATGTCTCATTGCAGGTCACCCTCGGGTCCTGGCTGACCCCTTCCCTGGCAGCTCCTCTTACGATGGTTACAACTATGGCTCCTTCGGTATGTGTCAGTGCCAGCAACTGTGCTGGCCACGCCCACTGTCCCCCGAGGCGCCACTTCTGCGGGGCACGTGGGGGCGGCCTCAGAGCCCAGCACTGCCCTCCCTGAGGCCTGTCCTCACCAGTTCCTGTTCTGCAGAGAATTGTTCCGGGTCCACGGAGGGTCTGGTTGACAGCATGGACACTGCGGACCTCTCCTACACTTACCAGGGTGAGTGGGCCGGGCGGCGGCAGCTCCTGGACACCTGTCGGTGGGCGGTCGCCTCTCTGCCAGACGCTGTCCCCCCCTCGGCCTTGCCTCCTGGGCTCCACTTCCCTGGTAACTCTCCCTTTCCTTTGAAGGGCACGACCAGTTCAAGCGGCGCCTTCCCTTTGGCCAGATGCGGCAGCTGTGCATTGCCATGGGTAGATGTGGGGAGGGGAGGAGCTGCTCTGCCAATCAGCTCTGCCGGCTGCTCTGCCAATCACAGGGCAGCTGGGCCGGGAAGCAGCTTTGCGCATGGCCGCCTCTAATGCCCTGCCCGCCTGCTCTGTGTGTTCTGGGACGAGCAGGCCTGGGGCTGACATCCCTCCCCGGCCACATGTCCTGTTTGGTGTCACCTTTGCCAGCACCCGGCTCCCTGGCCTGGGCTAGGGCTTCGGCAGGGGCGCAGGTCCTGGCCTCGGGGCCTTGGTCTGGCAGGGCCACGGGAGGGAGCTGTGGGGGCACAGGACAGGCTGAAGCAGCTCGCACCCTCGGCCCACTGGTCTTCACCCAGTGCCGCCTCAGAACCCACTCAGCCGCGCCTTCTAATCAGCATGACTTCTGCCAGATTCAGTCCCGCTGCTTGGGGCTGGGGCTGGGAGCCTCCACTCAGCAAGGGGCAGGCTGGCGCGTCCCTAGATTGTGGCTCTGCAGAGCCCACGCTGGTTCCCCCAAGGACTTAGGAGTATGTGGTACCACCCGAGGGCCCGGGCCCGCCAGGGCTCAGCCCCGTTTGCCTCTTCCCTCTGCCTAGAAATTGTGACAATTGCCCAGGTGGGTGGGGATGGACCCCAAGCTCCGTGCCCACAGGGAACCCCTCCTGCCTGCTCTCCCCAGACCGCCCCCTGGACCCCGTGGGCACGCGGCCGCGGCTGGACTCCATGAGCTCCGTGGAGGAGGAAGATTATGACACGCTGACTGACATCGAATCGGACAAGAATGTCATTCGCACCAAGGTCAGTCATTCCAAGGTCTGTCATTCACACCAGGGTTTCTCAGTCATTGGCACCAGGGTCAGTCAGTCATTCACTCCAGGTCTGTCATTCACACCAGGATCTATTAGTCATTGGTGCCAGGGTCTCATAGTCATTGGCACCAAGGTCTGTCATTCCCACCAGGGTCTGTCAATCATTCGCTCCAAACTCATTCACACCAGGGTCTGGCGGCCCTGTTCCGTGCAGCCCAGGAGGTCTCCCCCTGGGGCGGGACAGGGTCTGACTTGACACCAGCTCTCGGGGCTGCTGGGCCAGCAGCAGCGGGCGGCCCAGAACCCTCCCCATCGGTGTCCCCTGGTGCGAGGGGCTCACTCCAGCTTCTCCCCAGCAATACCTCTGTGTGGCCGACCTGGCGCGCAAGGACAAACGTGTTCTGCGGAAGAAGTACCAGATCTACTTCTGGTGAGTGAGGGCGGGGGAATGGCTTCCCATCACGTGGGCTGGGTGGCCTCGGGCCCTCGCCTCACCGCGTCTCCCTCTCAGGAACATCGCCACCATCGCCGTCTTCTATGCGCTCCCGGTGGTGCAGCTGGTGATCACCTACCAGACGGTGAGCAGGCTGGCTCCCCAGCCGGAGCAAGCACGGGGCTGAGGTCAAACCCCAGCTTTCACCAGCTGGGTGACCTTGAGCCATTCCCTGAACCTCCCTGAGCATCAGTGGATTCATCTGCGAAGTGGGGACAGCACAGTCCCAGGGATGGGATGGCGCCCTCCCGCACCCCGCAGGCTTTGCAGGATGGGTGGAATGCCAGGCCCTTCCCTTTTCCCTTTCTTCAGTCAGAATTCAGTCACCGGCCACCCAGGTCAGCCACCCGGAGAGCTGACGGGGGTGCCTGTGCACATACTTGCTGGCCTGGGGCACTTACTGTCCGTGGCAGAGTGGGGTAGGGCGGCCCCTGCTGGCGCCTGGCTCTTCCTCCCCAGGGCATGGGCTGAGCTTGGCATCCTCCCTCCCCTCCTGCAGGTGGTGAATGTCACAGGGAATCAGGACATCTGCTACTACAACTTCCTCTGCGCCCACCCGCTGGGCAACCTCAGGTGGGGATGGGCTTGGGAGGCCCCTTCCCGCGGTGGGTGGTGGGCCTGCCTGACGGGAGGGGCTGAGGCCTGTATCTGTGCCCTCCCAGCGCCTTCAACAACATCCTCAGCAACCTGGGCTACATCATGCTGGGGCTGCTCTTCCTGCTCATCATCCTGCAGCGGGAGATCAACCACAACCGGGCCCTGCTGCGCAACGACCTCTACGCGCTGGTGAGCGCCCGGCCTGGCCGCCCCCTCTTCCCGCCGCCCCCTCCCCACCGCCCACCGCCCCCTCTCCCCGCCGCCCACCACCCTCTGCCTGCTGCCCCCCTCTCCCCACCGCCAATCGCCCCCTCCCCGCCGCCCCCGTTCCTCCGCCCCCGTTCCTCCGCCCCCGGGTTCCTTGCCGCCCGTCTCCCCTCCCCTCCGCCCGCCTCCCCTCTGCCCGCCTCCCCCTCCCCGCGCTTGCGCCTGCCGCCTGCTCCTCCTGCGCACGCCCTCCTGCCTCACCTTTCTCCTTCCCTCCTCCTCTCCCTCCCCACCAGGAGTGTGGGATCCCCAAACACTTCGGCCTGTTCTATGCCATGGGCACCGCCCTCATGATGGAGGGCCTGCTGAGCGCCTGCTACCACGTCTGCCCCAACTATACCAACTTCCAGTTTGGTGAGTGGGGCTGAGCCAGATCAGGGACCTGCCCGTGTCCCACCGTCCCGTCACCCAGGTCCCCAGGGAGCAGCGTAGGCCCGTCATTGGTTCTGGCCCTTCCTCCAGAATGTGGACATCGCTGTGATGTGGGCCCTGACGGGAAGTCAGACTGGGTGACAGCCAGTTGGGAGCCAGGCGTGGGGAGGGGACACCGGGCCAGCGCCAGCCCGCCACCAGCTGGCTCTGTGGCCCCGGGTGGGGTGGGCGCGCTCTCTGGTTGTGGGGCCTGGGTCCTTGTGGAGCTTGGTGGCGGTGCTGCAGCTCACGGCCACGTCCCCCAGACACGTCATTCATGTACATGATCGCCGGGCTCTGCATGCTCAAGCTCTACCAGAAGCGGCACCCGGACATCAACGCCAGCGCCTACAGCGCCTACGCGTGCCTGGCCGTGGTCATCTTCTTCTCGGTGCTGGGCGTGGTGAGGCCTGAACCGGCTGTGTGCCTGCACACGCACTCTCCCCCTTTCCGTGCTGCCCTGCTTCCCTCCCTCCCCTCCCAACCCTTCCTCCCCTCCCGACCCTTCCCCCCTCCTTCCCTTTCCTCCCCCCCCCCCACCTCTTCATCCTCTCCACCTCCGCAGCAGAGCGTGCCCCTTCCCTGGCCCCCAGAGGGCCCTGCACCTCCGTCCCGTCTCCCCACCACCTCCAGAGGGAGGTGGGCTGGGTGCAGCCTCCTTCGCTCCCTCAGCCCTGCCCTCGGCACCGGCAGGTCTTCGGCAAAGGGAACACGGCCTTCTGGATCGTCTTCTCCGTCATCCACATCCTAGCCACCCTGCTCCTCAGCATCCAGCTCTACTACATGGGCCGCTGGAAGCTGGGTGAGGGCCGTGGCCTGGGTCTGCCCTCTCACTGGGGCCTGGGACTCCCGGGTGAGGAATCAGAGGCCTTGCCCAGCAGTGGCCGCCTCGGGGGCGCAGCCGGGAAAGCAGCCGCCTTCTCTCTTGCAGACTCTGGGATCTGCCGCCGCATCCTCCACGTGCTCTACACCGACTGCATCCGGCAGTGCAGCGGGCCCCTCTACGTGGTACCCACCGCTTCCCAGCCCTCCCCCGCCCTGTGCCCTCCAGGAGCGGGAGGCAGGCGAAGCCGAGGCCCAGGGGAGGGTTCCGACCTGGGCCTTCTCCCCGCTCAGCCCGTCTCTGCTTCCCTCTAGGACCGCATGGTGCTGCTGGTCATGGGCAACATCATCAACTGGTCGCTGTGAGTCTGGCGGGTGGGCGGCTGAGACCTGGGGTGTGAGGGATGGGGGCTGACGAGGGGTGTGGGCACTGGGGTTCTAGGTCCTCTGCAGGCCGCGGAGCCAGCCCCGGGTTAGTGTGAGCCACGGAGTAGGATTGAGGGCAGGGCCTGCTCGCCCGGCCATCCCGCCTCACCAGCTCCCTCCCTCTGGCAGGGCTGCCTACGGACTCATCATGCGCCCCAATGATTTTGCCTCCTACCTGCTGGCCATCGGCATCTGCAACCTGCTCCTCTACTTTGCCTTCTACATCATCATGAAGGTGAGGCTCAGCCTGGGGGCACGGAGGGCCTTCCTCCCACCTGGCTGAGCAGCGAGGTTTGCGGAGGGGCTGACGCTCTTGCACGTGTCCCCCGGGCACCGTCTGTGTCTGAGGGCCCCTAGCGGAGCGCCGTCCATGGTCCAAGAGAGGCCCAGGCAGCTAGCACGGCAGTGCGGAGGGTGGGGAGGCGGGGCCCGCTGGAGGGCCGCCTGGCCAGGGCTCCGCCAGCACAGGTCCTGGGCACAGGGAGGCCCAGCAGGGTGGCCGTTGGCGGTGAGGACCCCAACTGCTCGTGTGGGGCAGGCTGAGCTGGGCAACTGGAGGAGGCGATGGTGTGAGGCGCCAGGAAAGGGGTGAGGCATGCCCTCACGCTGCTCCCCCCCCCCAGCTCCGGAGTGGGGAGAGAATCAAGCTCATCCCCCTGCTCTGCATCGTCTGCACCTCCGTGGTTTGGGGCTTCGCGCTCTTCTTCTTCTTCCAGGGACTCAGCACCTGGCAGGTGAGCGGCCCCTGCGGGCGGGAGGCACCCACAGGCTCCTCCCGCGCTGGCCCACCCGCCCACCGCACGCACTCCCACAGCTTCCTGCCAGGAGCCTGCGTGGGCTGCGTCCCCTGTGCCGTGAGGGTGCCGCTGGGGAGCGGCTCTGTCCTCTGCCTGCGGGCACTGCCCTGGGGCAGGTTTCAGTCCTATAACCAGAGTCCAGCCTGGTTTGGGCTCTGCCTTCCAGGCGAGGAGCCTGATCGTCTAGTTCAGGGAGGGGCCGCGGCTCCTGGCAGGGGAGCACGGAGGGCAGAGGACAGGCCCAGGAGCGAGGGTCCAGGAAAACTGCCTGGAAGAGGCAGGTCTTGCTCTTGGCATTCAAGACCCTGGGGCTGGGGCGGCCTGTGTCCCAGGCGCTGTGGCCTGTGGCGATCAGAGGCAGAACTAGGTGGGAGGCACGGAGTCGGTGAGCACTGGCTCTCGAGGGCGGGGCGGGGCCCTTGGTCCTCCTCCCTGTGGCCTGAGCCCAGGCACCCTGAGGCCCAGCTGGTGTCGGCGGGAAAGAAGTGACAGCCTGAGTGCACGGCGCTGTGGCTGCGGACAGGGCTGCCACCTGGGCGGGGCTGTGGGGAGAAAAGGAGCTGGCAGAGCCTCCAGCTCTCCCCCTCTGCTCCCAGACCCCGGGAGGAGAATCTGAGGGAGGAGGGCGGGGGGCAGGGAGGGGCAGAAGAGGAGGCATTTGTAAGGGAGCTGGGTCTGAGGTGTGGGAGATGAGGGGAGGACAGGTGGGGAGAAAGCACTGTTCCCCGGGCCGGGAACGGCCTGGAGGTAGAGGGGGTGGGAGGTAGAGGGGGTGCGAGGTAGAGGAGGTGGGAGGTAGAGGGGTGCAGGAGGTAGAGGGGTGCGGGAGCTAGAAGGGGGCGCGGGAGCTAGAGGGGCGCGGGAGGCGGGGGGGGGCGCGGGAGGCGGGGGGGGGGGCGCGGGAGGTGGAGGGGAGCGGGAGGCGGAGGGGCGCGGGAGGCGGAGGGGCGCGGGAGGCGGAGGAGCGCGGGAGGCGGAGGGGTGCAGGGACCGTCGGCAGAGCCCTCCCTCTTCGTGCCCAGAAAACGCCGGCCGAGTCGAGGGAGCACAACCGGGACTGCATCCTCCTCGACTTCTTTGACGACCACGACATCTGGCACTTCCTCTCCTCCATCGCCATGTTCGGGTCCTTCCTGGTACGGGGCCTCCCTGGCCGCGGGAGGAGGAGGGTGCGGGCGCCATCCTGTGCCTGACGCAGCTGCCTCCCAGGTGTTGCTGACGCTGGACGACGACCTGGACACCGTGCAGCGGGACAAGATCTACGTCTTCTAGCCGAGCCCGTGCCCCACGCCGGCCGCGCCCCTCGGTCCCTTCCCAGGGCGGGGGCTGCGGGACCCCGGCCCGGCCGGCGTGGCCCGGACAGTCACGGCTGGCCTTGAGCCTTGCAGCTGCCCCTGCCGGGGAGGAGGCTGCCCTGGAACCCCAGATGTTGGCCAAATTGCTGCTTTCTCATCAGTGTTGGCACCTTCCAAGGCCCTGTCCTTGGCTCTCGTCTGTTCCTCTGAGGAAGGGGGAAGTGTCGCCCTCTCCGTCTCACGCCTCCGATCCACCTGCCCTTCCTGCTCCCAGCCTGGAGCCCAAGCCTCCGCTCGCTCCTCAGTCGGCCTGACTGGCCTGTACCAGGGCCCACGGCTCTTCGGGGTTGTACCTCGCTGCCATCACTGCCCACTCTGGTCGGCCAGATGGACGGGGCGTAGGATTTGGGGACTGGCCAGCTGGTGCCAGGCTTATGGTGCTAAGTCCTGCCAAGGGCCCTGGCGGCTCTTGGGCAGTGAGGGCCAGCTCATGTGAGAACTGCCTTTGCCTGAGGCCTGGACTCCGAGGTCATGTCCTGTCCCATCAGCCCCAGACGGATGTGAGCACCAGGTTTGGAAAGAAAAAGCAACTCGTCGTCCTTTTCCTGGCTGGGCCCTCCATCCTGCCAGGCCCCCGCTGGGGGCATTAGTGCCATTGACATTGCCCAAGGGGGTCAGGGGCCAAGGAGGGAGGGCACGAGGAGCCCCGCGCGTCTGCCTCCTGCGGCCTCGCAGGACCCAGTGCCTAGGGTAGAGGGGGCTCGAGAACGGTCACGACCTGCCCCTCTGCCCCTCGCCCGGTGTCGCTCTGGGCTCGCTTCCGTCCAGTCGTCAGCCGAGTCCTTTGTCACACACGTCGTAAGACACCTTGGAGTTTACACTGACCAAACCCAGCTCTGGGTGCCTCGCTGCTCTGGCCTGGGACCCCTTTGCCCTCCCTGGTCCGGCGCAGACGCCAGGCTGGGGAGTCGGGCCAGGCCCTGCCTTGCGATGGGAATGTTCCATTCTCCCCAGCGTGTGCACAGCTGCCCTGGGCTGGGGAGGAGTGGGCCGGGGTCTCTCCAGAGCTCCGTTTACTGTCTGTTTCCACGCTGTGGTTGCATTGGTTTTCTATGAACAAGTCTGCATTCGATTAAAGAAACCAGACACAGTTCTCGGACCCTATTTGCTCCGCTTTCTGGGTGTAGATGCTGAGAGTGGGACGGCCGTGGCCTTCCGTTCTCCAGTGCCGGGCCCAGGCCATGGGCACCGGTTCCTGGCTCTGTTCTCTCCTGAGGAGTGGCGTGAACGCAGTAAATGTTGGTGGGGGGCCTGCTCCATGCCAGGCACTGTGCTGGGCAGAGCGTAGGGGAGTGAACAACCTTCGCCACACTCTCACCTGAGATACCCACCTTTCCTGGCAAACCACAGCAACCTGTACCCGCCTGTCTCCCTCCCCACCACCAGCCCCGTGGCTGCAGGCAGTGCTGCGGGGCCTGGCCTTAAAGACTGGCATGTGGTCAGGCTGGGGTGGTGCTGGGGAACAGATTGATGGCTGGTGGGTAAGTGGGGCATCGAGGGCAGACTTGCTCCTAGAAGAAGGGTTTTGAAATGACCTGGGAGGTTGAGTGACATGAATTCGGGACAAGCAAATCCCCAGCTCCTTCCCACAGACACCACTGGGAGGCACTATTGCTCCGCACCGCCAGGGGCCAGGGCAGGGATGGAGTTGTTGCCTTTGGCTGGCAGGGGGCTGACGGGCCGCCCTCTGCTGGTGCTGAGTGAGCCTGCAGAATGTGAGGTGCAGACTTCAGCAGGCGCCCTAGGGAGGGGGTGGGGCAAAGTCTCTCTTCCCTCCCTCTATCCTTCCTGAGACCCCTGAAGCCGGGGACAAGCACGATCTGCACGGTTTCCTTCCTGGATCAACAGGGATGGAAGGAGGCACCTGCACCCCTGAGCCTCCTGCCCCAGCGCTGGGTCTCAGCCCTGTGGCCTTAGCGATCCTCTGGATGGGGGCAGCTGCTCTGAACCCTGAAGAACAGGACCCTAGGCCCACCCCGCAGAAAGCCCTCAGCTCGAGCAGGGGGTGCGGCTGAAGGAGGGGGGAGGCTGGCAGTCTCTCCTGCTCCCACAGGGGGCTGGTCAGTGGATGCCTGGGTTCTGCACTCACTCACCGTGTGGCCTTGGGTGAGATGCCCTCTGACCTCAGCTTCCTCATCTGTAAATGGTGCTGACAATTACACTCTCACAATGCCTTTGCCAAGCATCGGGCATGTAGTCAGTCCTCAGTAAGGTTAGTTCCTAACTCCCACCAGAGCTAAAGCCCAGGAGAAGAGGGGCTGGTCTTTTCCCTACAAACCTCAGGGATGGGCCTCCCTCTCCCCTGGCCCCTTCCCTCTCCCTCCTGATGTTCCTCCTCCCTGCACTGCGCAGTGCAGACGGATCAGCCTGTCTGCCCTCCCGTCCCGCGGGGAAGCCTCCGTGGTCCTGTCCATAAAAGGCCTTTCCCGCTGGTTCCCCAGCCCCAGCCCCGCCCGCCGCTCCATCTCCCAAGCACGCGGGGAATGCTCGCCGCCTGGCAGAATGCTCCAACTTGGTGTCTTTCCCCAAATATGGAGCCTCTGCGAGTCACTGGGGGGCCTGGGTGGGGATGGAGCCGTTTCCTCCAGCAGGGAGGGGGGGAGGGGGCGGGGGGGGGGAGGCGGGAGGCTGACATCACCACCGCAGCAGGCCTTTAAACCCCTCACCCAGCCAGCGCCCCATCCTGTCTGTCCAAGCCCAGACAGAGCTGAGTCCTCCCTGCGCGCTGCGGAGCCCAGTGAGTGCGTCTGTCCGTCTGTCCGGGGCTGGGGTGTGGCTGCTTCCCAGCCGGGGAGCCTGCCCTGGGGCATGCAGCCTCCCCTCCCCTCCGGGTGGGAAGGTGGTCCTAGCGATGGGCGGGAGGGGTCCGAGCCACGCTGCTCACTGGGCAGCCTGGCTCACTGAAGTGCCCAGGAGGCCTGACTGGCGAGGAGGGAGCAGACTGAGCGGGTGGAGGGGTGGTCGGCTCTGCTGTCTGTGTGTGTGTGGTGGGGGGAGGGGGGATAGGGGGAGAGGAAGGTGAGGAGGTGAGTCATTAGTGCTGGGGAGCAGTGACCCTTGGGGGTCCCGGGGCTGGGGCCGTGCAGCCTGAAGAGCCCCATGGCAGTGGGATGGGCACAAAGCCGGTCAGGAGGGTGCAGGGCGCAGGGTGCAGGCAGAGGTGAGGGCTGACTTTCTGGGTACATAGCTCCTTCCACACACAGAGAGGGCACCTCCCGACAGGCAGAGGGTGGGGCCCGCGCTGCCGGGGACCGGACGTGGGGTGGCTCTGGGGCTGGGCAGGCCTGGGCCCTGGGCTCCCCTCGGGTGAAGTTGAGTTGGCTCTTCTCTGCCCCCAGGACTGAGATGAGCCTCCTCTCCTGCCCCCTGTCCCCGGGGCACAGGACTCACACCTCTGAGCTGTGTTTTACTTGGAAGAGGGGCCCTGGTTTGCGAGCTTCTCCAGGGTCCTGCTGGGAGACCCCCAACCCTTAGCTGTGGGACTTTGCGCTCCCCCTGGGGAGGGGAGGCTGACAGAAGCCGAGGGCAGGGCGCCGCCTGCTGCCCAGGAGCCTTTGTCTGGACCGCCCCGGGTGCAGGGTCTCTCCCTCCTCCCAGCGGCGGCCGGCGAGGCTTCTCGGAGCTCTGCACTGGCAGCTCCTCACAGGTTTCCGGGCGGGCGCAGGCCTGGGCTGAGGGCTTGGTCCCCAGTAGGGGGCATGCAGGAGGCAACCAATGTTTCTTTCTCCCTCTCCCTTCCCCTCTCTCTAAAAATTAATAAAAACATTTTTGTGGGTTTTTTTTATAAAGAGCGCAGGGCATGGAAGACAGCCTGGACCATAGGGAGGCAGCCGGGCCTGGGATGGGGATGAAGCAGAGAGGAGGGAGGGAGGAGGGAGGAGGGAGGAGGGAGGAGGGAGGAGGGAGGAGGGAGGAGGGAGGAGGGAGAGGGAGGCAGGCTGAGCGGGGATCCCTGTCCTTGCCAATGGTGGTGTGGACCACAGGGCTTTGCCCAGGAGCCCTGGGTGAGGAGGGAGCAGGGGGACACAGAACACTTTGGGGAAGGGAGGGGCTTGCTGTTGTAGCCCAGTGCAGTCTCTGCCTTGGGTTCTTCGGCATCACTGGGGGGGGGGGGGTGCTGAGAGAACCTTGTCCCCAGTGGCCCGGCCCTCACGTCCATATCAGGACACCGGGAGGAGGGCGTTGCCCATGCCAGAAGGAAGACGTGCCCTCCACCGCACGCTCTCCCGCTGGTTCCCAAGAGGGTGGAGGCTGGGGAGACGGCGGCCTGCCAGGTGCTCCCAGCCCCGAGGGAGCGTCCACTGCCTTCCGCGGACACGCGTGGGCCTGGGGGAAGGGGCGGAGACGGCGTGCGGCTGACCAGTCATTCCTCAGGCCGCTCCCTTCTCCTCAACCTCTGACCTCCGAGGCCAGGGCACGGCACCTCCTTAGATGGACTCTGGGCGCCGCCCGGGTTGATACCTGTGGTCAGGCCGTTGAGCAGCCAGGCCCATGTCTGCCCACCCTGCTGCCTGGCCCTGCTCCCGGGCCTCCCCTCCCATCAGCGGGCCCTCCGGAGGGGGACAGCGCAGCCCCTGCTGGTCCGCACCGGCAGGTGGTTGGCTCTGGGCTGTCCCTGGAGGACTCTGGCTCTGTGGTTACTTGAGCTGCTCTCGTGGTGTGAGGACCTGGACACGAGGGGCCTCCATGGGCACCAGTGCTCCCTGAGGAAATGCAGGGCCCTGGCCCAAGCTCCCGGGCGGCTGTCTCCCTGCCCTCGCCAGCCTGTGGGCAGGTGGGAGCCACTCAGCGGCCGGCAGGCAGAGCTGGCGGCAGAGCTGAGGAGGGCGGGGTTCGGAGGGCCCCTCCTGGGTGGAGAGTAAAGGGGAGAAGCTGGGGTCGGAGGGAACCGCCTCACACCTGGCTGGACAGACACCTGCGGCTTCCTTCTGGGGCCAGTGTGGCCTCCCCCAGAGCCCGCAGGTCCTCTGGGGCCAAAGAGAGAGAACTCGGCATCGTGGGCAGACTCTCAACCCCACTGAGCCACACCGGCCAGTTGCGTAAATAAAGTTTTATTGGAACAAAGCCACGTTCATTTGTCTATGTCTTGCCTACAGCGGCTTCTGTGGGACAATGGCAGAGACCATATGGCTTGCAAAGCTTAAAATACTTACGTCTGGTCATTCACAACTTAGTTGACCAAGCCTGCTCTCGTCCGCCAGAGACCGGTCTTCGGCCCCCCGGGTCTCCAAGGCTGGAGGGGCCCTGGCTGAGGGGAGGGCCCAGAGGACAGAGCTGAGAAAACAAAACCAAGGAGCAGGCGGAGAAAGACCAAGGTCTAGATTCCAGGTGGTGGGGCACCGAGCTGGACCTGCTGCCGGGGAGAGCACAGCCGGCTCTGATCCTGCCCCCTCCCTTCTCTGCCCGGGCTCAGCTCTCCCCGAACATGGCCAACAAGGGACCCTCCTACGGCATGAGCCGTGAGGTGCAATCCAAGATCGAGAAGAAGTACGACGAGGAGCTGGAGGAGCGGCTGGTGGAGTGGATTGCAGCGCAGTGTGGCCCGGATGTGGGCCGTCCGGACCGCGGCCGCCTGGGCTTCCAGGTCTGGCTGAAGAACGGCGTGGTGAGTGGCACCCGGGAGGGGTCGGGCTGTGCCGTTCTGTGAGTGCCATGGGGCCGGCACCCCGAGCCAAGTGCCAAGCTGCGTCTCTGCCCGGCAGATCCTGAGCAAGCTGGTGAACAGCCTGTACCCCGACGGCGCCAAGCCAGTGAAGGTGCCCGAGAACCCTCCCTCCATGGTCTTTAAGCAGATGGAGCAGGTGGCTCAGTTCCTGAAGGCAGCCGAGGACTACGGCGTCACCAAGACGGACATGTTCCAGACGGTGGACCTCTTTGAAGGTACCGGGAACAGGGGGTGGAGGAGCTGGTGCGGCCGGCTGGCCCAGGCAGGGACCAGCTGTGATGGAAGCAGGAGTGGGGAGACTGCAGCACACTCACAGGGGCGCGCCCTGGCCCCTGGTTGGCTCGCTCTGAGGTGGGGCGGCCGCCTTGAGAGTCCCGTTTCCACGGCCCTGAAGTGTGTCCGCCAGAGGCTAACAGATGCCCTGTTTCCCAGAACCACACAGAAGTGACGAGCGTAAATCAAACTGCCAGCCAGGCCTGAGAAAAGACTGATGTATATTTTCCCACAGGCAAAGACATGGCAGCCGTGCAGAGGACCCTGATGGCCCTGGGCAGCCTGGCCGTGACCAAGAACGATGGGCACTACCGCGGAGACCCCAACTGGTTCATGAAGTAAGTGGCTCCTCCCAGTGCGGTCTCCGTTTGAGAAGGGGGCAGCCTGGGCTGCCCGATGATGAGTGATTTGGGGAAGCAGATAGCCAGGAAGGGATGAGGTCTAAGGGGGGGACTGGGTCCCTAATATTATTGACTCCTCCCTTCCTAACCTCTGGGGTGCAACCAGCCGCCCTAGCCTGAGGGCCAAGCTAGCTAAAGGAGGGGGGGAGGGGAGTGGAGGGTGGAGGGTGGAGGGGAGACAAGGAGGAAGAGGGACCAGGCCAGGAAGTGGCAGAGCAACCAGCAAGCAGGCCTGGCGAGTGGTCACCGGGTCCCTCCTCCAGGAAAGCCCAGGAGCACAAGCGGGAGTTCACAGAGAGCCAGCTGCAGGAGGGCAAGCACGTCATTGGCCTGCAAATGGGCAGCAACAGAGGGGCCTCCCAGGCTGGCATGACGGGCTACGGGCGGCCTCGGCAGATCATCAGCTAGAGGGCCAGCCAGCCCCCAGCCTGGCTCCCCGCTCGTTGGCCTCAGCCTTCCTTCCTCGCCCACCTCCTGCACCCCGAGTCCCTCCGCCCCGGCCAGCATCCAGGCTCTGAGCTCCGTCACTGAGCACAGGGGGGACTGCGCTTGGGCACCTCGCCCACCCCTGAGCCCGATTCCTCTTCTGAAGCACTGCTCCCGCCCTCCCCGCTCCGCTCCCCGCCTTCTCCACTGCCTCCCCCAGCCTGGGCTGCACAGGGGGCTGGGCTGGGGCTGGGACAAACCCACCGTCCCCCTTGCCAGATGCCCATTGAGGGAGACCCAGCCCAACCTCCCAAGTTTGCTGGAATATTTTGGGGGTTGAAATTCAAGGTGAAAATATACATCAGTCTTTTCTCAGGCCTGGCTGGCAGTTTGATTTACGCTCGTCACTTCCGTGTGGTTCTGGGAAACGGGCATCTGTTAGGCTCTGGCCGACGACCTCGGAAGACCCCGCCCACTGCAGGTCCCGGTGCAATTCTCAGGGGACCGGCCGCGGGCGAGGAGTGGACCTGGGGACTGATGGGAGGAGCGACTGGCAACTTGCTGAGCAGAGAAGATGGCAGGGGTGGCAGGATTCTGAGGAAGTTTTTATTGTGGAAAAGCTGCGCAGAAAAAATTCTACAGAAGCTGCTGTGAAAGGAGAAAATCAAGTCTTAAGTGTAAAAAAAACTGAGTCAACCAACCAGCTCAGAAGGGGGGGAGCCAAGAAGGGGCATCAGAGCTGCCAGCAAACAGCTGGCCTTGGGGGGGGAGGCCGTTCCCTGAGCACTTTGGGAGGACAGGGCGGCTGGGTGGGTGGCAGTGACCACACCCTCCCAGTCCTGTGCAGACTCCCCTGGGAAGCAGCAGCCTGGCCAGGCCCTCCCTGGCTTGGCCAGGAGCATCATCCTGACCCTTCGGCTGAAAGGTGGGGGTGGTGAGGGAGTCCGGGGTTCAGGGGTGGCTTCTGATTAGGGAGACTGAGGCAATGGCTTGAGGGCAGTGTACTGGGCGGAGGGACCACAGCCACACCCGGATGTCCAAGGTCCAAGGCTTAGGCAGGCTCCGGGTCCTGGGTCCTGAGAAGCACAGGATATCCGGGCCCTTCCAGTCCCCACCTCTGCGCCTTCTTCCCAAGTGAGTCCAGGGATGTCTCCGCAGGGACACTCCTCTGGCTCCGGGCGGGCGAGGGTCCGAGGCCCGCACCACTGGCCAGGGGAAATGAGGACGGAGGCCTGCCCGCAAGGGACGGCCAACCCCATCCGAGTCCTTCTCACCCGAAGCTGTGGGTTCAGGAAGGTCCTGTGCTGCTGCCTCCCTGTTCTCTGCACCGCTCCCCCGCACATCTCCTCTGAAAGCCTGGCCGCCCTGAGCGGTCAGAGGTGCTCCGGAGCCTCTGGGCTGCGGACAGACGGACGTGCGGATCAGGGGTGCCTGCTCCCAGGGTTCCTGGGACTTGGGAGCAGCTGCCAAGCTCCCTGCCGAGGAGGAAAAGCCGGTGCCAGGCTGAGCTGCTGGCCGTCAGCACACCTGCTCCTCCCTGCCCTGCAGGCCAGGAGGCGGGGCAGCCGCGGCCTCGGCCTCCACTCCCACGGGGTCCTTGCTGCTGCAAAGTGGTACCGACTCCAGATCTGCTCCCTCCTCCCCGGCTTTTCGGCTTCTTGGGAGCCAGCGGCAGGGTCTCTGACAAACCGGGGGAGAGGCCACATCCCTCTGGCTCAAGTAGACTTCCAGCACGTAGTACACAGTCCAGAAGGTGGCGAAACAGCCGACCAGCACCAGCGTCTGGGGGAATGCCACACCGAGGTTAGGGCAGCTCCCCGAGGCCTGCCGCCTTTCCCAGCCCAGAACGCCGAGCTCAGAGTCTCTCCCACGAGGGGCTGCCTTCCCGCCCCCAACCATCACCTACCTACGTAAGAAGTTCCAGGTGGCAGGGCGACCCTGTCTTCCCACCACCTTGTCCATCCCACCAAGCTCTACCCCCGCCCCCCACCCGGTCCCCACCTCCAGGGTGAGGATTAGCTTCAGCACCTTGAGGGTGTTCGGGGTGATGGGGTAAGCGACTTCCTCAGGAATTTTGAGCCCAGGAGGGCAGGGCAGAGAGAAGCCGTCATGCAGGTACTTTCCACTCATGGCGTCTTCTAAGAGTCTGCGGAGAAGGAGACAGGCTGCCCGGCTGAACTTGGTCCCACCTGCCCGCCCCGTCCTCCCCCGGAGCTGGAGCAGGAGGACGCAGGATGGGTTCCCAGGGAGGTGGAGCCTGAGCAGCCCCTTTCCCTCTTCCTACCTCTGTCTGTCTCTGATGTCCCCCGGACTCCACGCAGAGCCATACAGGGTCAGCCGCCACTGGCGGAGGGTGCCGGCCGGGAGCGTCTCATCTCCTAGGGCAGCGAGCGGGGCCGTGAGCCGGACAGCAGAGCTCCTGCCATGTGGCAGGGCTTGGCCATAGGGACGGGGCTTACTTCCTGGTCTGCCAGCTGGCAGCCCGAGGTATCCACACGGGACCACTCCTGTGGGACTCTGGATGCGGAGGGACCGGACGGCAGCCATGAAAGGCAGGGCTGAGGGAAGGGGCAGGCTCACCTACATCCCTGACCACGAGTCTGTAGGACCCTCGCGCCCTCTCCCCCCAGCAGCGCACGGTGGAGAAGGTCCAGTCCACAAAGCCGCTGGGGTCCCTGGGGAAGAACAGAGGGAAACCTGGAGGCGCGCAGAGACCCACCCTTTCTCACGTGGCAGGGTGCCACGCGGGGTCCCCTGCCCCTGAGCTCGGGGACTCATGTCCGGGTGCTGTGGTGGAAGAGGCAGAGGTGGGCAAGCACAGGCGGGCTGACGGCTGGGGTTAGGGCTGCCTTCTCGGGCGCTCACTAGCCCCAACTGGTCTCCTCATTTGTAACACGAGGCCGCACAGGTGACTGCACGGTCCTCGTAAGGACTGGCGCGCACGTGAGTGCTGTGTCAGCACCGTAAGCACACACGTGAAGCCCATCCCGGCCGGCTGCCAGCCGCCAAGGTCGCCATGGGCCAGGCCCGCGCCCCGGTCAGGCCTCCCTCCCGAAGAGGCCGTGCTGCAGAGGCGCAGAGGGTGGGCATACGTACGAGTCCATGCTGCGGGGCGCGCCGATGAGGGACATCATGCCGCTCGGGCAAAAGAGCCGCAGCTCCAAGCTGCCCCGCCGCGGGTGAGTGATGGAGACCGTCACTGCCACGTGCTCCAAGGTCTGCAGCCCCGACACCGCCAGGTCCATCCTGCTGACTGAAGGGGTCCAGGCTGGGCACCAGCCCACAGACACCCACACCCACTTTATCCCCCCACACACACACGCCTCACAGGGCACCACGGCACCTCGGGGCCTGTGCACACATCGAGGGGAGGCAGCGGCGGCTTTGAGGCCCTTTACACTCTGGAGGCTAGTTGGGGAGAAGACATATAACACATAGAAGACCCGGTACAAGAACCAAACGGAGGACTTCACCAGTTCGTGTATCCGACACCAATTCCCCCAGGACTGCCTACAGCTCAGGGCCCGCACCAGATGCTGGGAAGACAAAGGTAAGTTGGACGTGGTCTCTGCCCTCCACCGGCCAGTGGAATGCTAGGGCGGGAGGCACACATAACTGATACCAGGACCCAGACAAGGGGGTGGGTTCAGGCACACAGAGAAGGAAATGAATGCAGAGTGCTAGAGGGTATTCTGGAAGGGAAAATGGCATATGCAAAGGCAGAGGTAGAAACGGTTGTTCCATAAAGGATTAAAAAAAACTACTTAAGAAAATAAACTTCAAAGGAAATTATGCTGAATAAAAAACAAAATCAGGATACATGTGTGATTTCATCTCTATAATGTTGATGTGTAACATAACAGAGATGGAGACCAGGCATCATGGGCAGGCCAGGGGGACAGTGCGGCCAGGTGGCTGGCTGAGGGAGTGTGTGAGGATGGGCTGCTCGGACTGCGGTTGTGGTATTGGTTATATAAGGCAGCATGTGGTAGAACTGCACATGCGCGGGCACACCCACACCCACACCGAGTGCATGTCTAACTGGTGAAATCCAGATAAGCTAGAAGGACTGTACCAATGTCATTTTCCTGGTTTTGACAGTGTACTCTAATTATTTAAGACATTATCATATGGAAAAGGGTAACTGGAATTCCCCGGAACACTTCTTTACAACTTCCTACAATCTAAAACTATTTTAAAATAAAGTTGTTTTTTTTTTTTAAAAAGAACAAGCTGCTGAGCTGATAGATGACTCTCTCATCGATGTTTCTAACTATCTCTCTCCCTTCCTCTCTGTACAAAATCAATAAAAATATATTAAAAAAAAAAAAAAAAAAAGAACAAGCTGCTGAAGTGGAGACTCACTAGAGAATATGAGGGAGTCTTTCTAAAGCACCTCCCCACCAGCGTGCCCTCAGGCAAGGCGAACGCTGGTTCACAGACGGCCCGAGGCGCTGAGGTGGGCACGGACCCAAGACGAGAAGGGCTTTCAGAACGTACTCCAAAAACAAGAGCTTTACAGGTTACTGAACGGGAATGAAGGGGTGTGGGTGTGCATAAGGAAGGTGCCTCTTCACAGCGCCGGCAGGAGTGGGAGCAGGTGACAGGCCAGCTGAAGGCGGAGTGAGCCGGGAGATGCACGACTGGCGAAGGAAGGGGAGAGAGGAGGCTGAGCCTCCGGGACGCCACTCTCTGCGCCTCCCGACCTGCTGCTGGCCCCTCGCTGCTTCCTGCAGAGTGCACCGTTACCCACTGGGACACCGTGTGCGTGGGACTGCCTACTTGGTGCCATACTTCGTGTTCCTGTACCTCCGCGGCTCCACAGACCTCTCCATCCCATGTCAGCACTGGGCCTTGTTGTTATCTGGGACCCCCTCATTCTGATGCTTTGGTAACTTTCATCGTGGCTCTTACTATATAAGCAACACAAATTAATCGAAGACAAACGAGAAAAGGAGTTGAGCAAAAACGAAAAAACAAACAAAAGCTCCCACAGCTCTTGGTAACATGCTGGCAGACCTCCATGGGGACTTCTGTGTGACTTTCCTCCAGTTCCGTCTGTAAACGCTCCAAAGCCGATGCCCCCTCCTCGGAAAGCAGCGCGTGCCCGTCCTCCTTCCCACTCCCTCCGACCCCTCACTGCTCCTCAGGAAAGCCATCCAGCTCGCTGCTCCCACCAGCGGGGCCACAGCGCCCCTCCAGCGCTCTGTACCCTCCCCGCTCCCTTCGCCGGCTTCGCCACTCACAGCAGCTTTCTGGCAGAAATCCAAACCGGATCAACCCAATTACCCGTTTTCCTGGCTTATGTCTTTGCTACTACAAATGAAAAACAAAAACTAATAAACCCTTTCTCAACTCTTCACTTCCTTCCATCTGTTGTTAAGAGCTTGGACTCTGGCCTGGCTGGTGTGGCTCAATGGTTGAGCATTGACCTATGCACCAGGAAGTCATGGGTGATTCCCAGTCAGGGCACATGCCCGGGTTGTGGCTCGATCCTCTGCAGGGGATGTGCAGGAGGTAGCCCATTGATGGTGATGTTTCTCTCTTGATGTTTCTATCTTTTTCTCCCTCTCCAAAAATTAATAAAAACACATTATTTTTAAAAGGGAAAAAAAATTTGGACTTGAGCCATCCAGCCTGAGTTTAAATCTCAGCTCTGCCATTTACTAACTGTGAGAATTGGATTAGTTTCCTTACCTGTAAAATAAGGGTAGTAACAGTACCTACTCATAGAGTTGATAAATTAGTTAATATACATAAATTAGAATATAGAAGTATTAGATTTACTATGTCTACTTCTTACCTTTCCATTCATCCTTGCCATTTTTTTTTCCTATTAAAAGAGTATACATGGCACTAACAGTTTGGCTCAGTGGATAGAGCATCGGCCTGTGGACTGAAGGGTCCCAGGTTTGATACCAGTCAAGGGCATGTACCTTGGTTGTGGGTACATCCCCAGTGGGGGGGTGTGCTGGAGGCAGTTGATGATGATTCTCACTCATCGATGTTTTTAACTCTCTATCCCTCTCCCTTCCTCTTTGTAAAAAACAATAAAATGTATATTTTAACAAACCCACAGCTCTTTGGTCCAATGGCCAATACTCTAACCACTGGGCAAAGCTGACCTGGGCTCAAATATTTCTATACTTACTTAATCATGATTTCTCTTATCTATTACATGTTTATAATGGCTACTTTAAAGTCTATTTCTAATAAATGAAAGATCTAGCCACTCTCACAGGCAGTGCTGTCAACCAAGAGTCCTACAATCCAGCAGTTATTCTTCAAAGACAAGTGCAAAATAGATACTTCTGGATAAACAAGGTCTGAGAGAACTTGTTGCCAACAGACCTGCCTTGTAAGAAATACTAACTGAAGTTCTTTAAGCTGAAAGGAAATGGTCCCAGTTGGCAATTCAAATCCAAAGGAAAAAAGAAAGCACAGTAAGTGTAATTGTGTCTTACAGAAGACAGTTTAAGCAAATAGTATATCCTTCCCTTTAACTGATTTAAAAAGCAATGATAGCCCGGCTGGTGTGGCTCTCAGGTTGAGGGTCAACCTATGAACCAGGAGGTGACAGTTCAATTCCCAGTCAGGGCACAGGCCCAGGTTGTGGGCTCGATCCCCATAGGGGCTGTGCAGGAGGCAGTCGATCAATGATTCTCTCTCATCATTGATGTTTCTTTCTTTTAAAAAAAATTTTTTTATTGATATATTTTATTGATTTTTTACAGAGAGGAAGGGAGAGAGACAAAGAGCCAGAAACGTCAATGAGAGAGAAACATCAACCAGCCGCCTCCTGCACATCCCCTACCAGCCAACGTACATGCCCTTGACCGGAATTGAACCCGGGACCTTTCAGTCGGCTGACTGACGCTCTACCACTGAGCCAAACCGGTTTCGGCTCATCATTGATGTTTCTATCTCTTTCTCCCTCTCCCCTTCTCTCTGAAAACAATAAAAAATATATTAAAGGAAAAGAAGTAATTACATACAATTTGTATACAGTGTACATAGGAATATGTACTTGCAATAACAGCACAAGAAAGGTGAGTGGGATAAGACTGTACTGGGCTAAGAAAAGGGCTACATATGGTAAAGTAGTCACCACAGTGTATTACTATGTTTGTAACCACAGCTGTAATATTTTCTTATTTCTTTTTTCATGGATAGGGCAGTGTCACAGAAGGCCACAGCATTCTGCTGCCCATGAGGAGGAAGCCCACGTTGCGTTCGGATGTGTTTTACGTAGAGGAGCCATTATTCAGGCGCTCTGCTCTCTCAGCCCAAGCACAGATGTGACATTTGTCACACACCGAAGTGGGTCAAGAAAACAGAGCTGCATGGGAGTAACATTTCTGTATCTCTGGAATTAAGCTGGCACAAACCCAAAGCAGATTCTGCCTTCCCATGTTTATATGGAACCTAGAGTAGCCACGGCAGAGGCAAGACTGGGTCTGGAGTACTCATGATGTGAAAGGGAGTTCCCTACCGCTCCTCGCCACCAGGAGCAAACACCTTTTATTGCCTTTAGTCGTTTTCTTCTGGGCTCTACCTTCATGTTTCTAAGTAATAAGCATGTATGACTACTTCACGGTTGATCAATAAAGGCATTGATTGTTGACTTTCGATTACAGCACCTTGCCTTCTCAAAGTAATTACATCACAGCTTTTGGTTAGATCAATATTTTGTTTGCCATACAATGGCCTTACAAATATATGAATTGAGTCAAGTATGTACAATGATGACACGTCATTGCCTGACTAATTTGCTGTTTTCCCCTCTAGAGTGAATAACTGACCCGTTTTTTGGTGAACTTAAATTCATGTCCCTACCGCTACTTCTTGCCAAACTTCACAAAAGAACCATTTAGCTCCTCTGGATACTATTCTTCAAATGAACAAACAGTCAGAGGCTCCTCAGCACCATTTCCCACTGGAGGTCTCTCTCTGAACCCTTCTGCCCGTTTCCACCTGCTGCACGGCTGTTGGGCTGGGACCTTCCTCTGCCTCCCACTCGGCTTCACTTCCTCTCTGCACCGTCCCTCTCTCTCCACTCCGGCCCTCCCTTGCTTGCTTTTCTTCCTTCCTAACCTTTTCTTCTCCTGGCTCCTCTTCACTGCCGAGGAGCGCATCTCCTACCGCCTTCAGACCAACAGAGCACGAGACTTACACGTCTGAGAACACCCTTCCTTGTCCTGCCTTTCCACATGGTTATTAGTTAGCCTGGGTTTATCGATCGGAAAAATTTTC